CTCTTCTGAGCATGAGTTCCACCATGAGGGATAAGAGAGGACACTTTTTATGTTACAAGAAGCAGATCTAATGAGCAAAATGTAAAGCACTTTCAAATTTATTCAATGAAGCACGATTTTCAAAGTCCCCCCCTTTTTTTTTTTTTAGTGGAGAAGAGAAGATGCTTAACCATTTCCCAGGCAGCTGCTCTTCTGCTCAAAATCTCTCACACACCCCAAGGGCATCTTCCCTCTTGGGCGTTCCAGATGTGCTACCTTTCCATGCACACAAGTGAGGGGAGAGCAGCTGCCTTATACTGAATCACACCATTGGTCCATCTAGTTCAAGTATTGTAGCCATTGAGTGACAGAGGTTCTGACGGGTTTCAGATAGCCCTACCTGGAGATGCCAGGGATTGAAGCTTGGACCTCTTGCTTGTAATGTTTATGCTGCACCACCAGAAATGAAAGAGCTAACTTAATGACCTACAGATGTTGTGGGACTACAACTCCCATCAGCACCAGGCAGCAAGGCCAGTGATCTAGGATGATGGGAGCTGTACATAAATTGAGACTGGAAGTCTTGTCTTCTTGTCATATTGACACTACAGACTTTACCCATGGGCTCCATGAAATTGTTTTGTAAGGATGCTGAGATTTGTCTATTAATGACCACCACCATCCCTAGCCTCCACAGAACCAAGCAAGGATGGGTGTTGTTATAATATATAATTGGGGAATGCCCACTGTGTGGAAGTTGGTTGGGGTTACTAAGGGCTGGAAATGCTCTCCTCAAATGCTCAATAGGACTCAATTATTATATTGCCTCACAGGATCCAGGAAAAAGGCCTGGGAGTCAGATGAGAAGACCTTGTGAAGACCTCTTTCTCCTCTTCTTTTCTGTATCATTTGGGCTTTAAATCAAAGGTAGCTAACCTTTATGGGGGAGGGGTTAACAGGTGCACTCACCCTTCAGGGGCTGGATTCCAGCAGTGGGTGTGGCCACTCTGTACTCTATTGCACATGTGCGCCCACCCACAAGGAGCACATGCAGATGCACTAAATCCATGCAGATCATTTGAGGAGGAGATTATTGCCCCTCTCCCTCGTCATCCAATGAAAAATCCAGTGACCAGGGAGGTGGCAATTTGCATTCTCATCAAGGTATTGGACTGGGCTTTCCATTCATAATTGTGTCTACTTTTGTCTTGTTTTTTCCTTTTCCTTTCATCACTACCACCACAATCTTGGGAGGGGTGTTGCCCCAAAAAGCTGGGATTGGGCCTGATCTGGCCAATAGGTTGGGAAGGGGGGGAAGTTATCCATTGCAGCTTTCAATTTTCTCAAAGCAGTGACGACGACATATTCTAGATTGTACACAGCAGTGCTCTGCACACTGGTGGCCCAATTCCGTGTTCAATAGTGTAATAGCATAAAGACATCTGGGGGATCACTGCACATTGCTGTAGGTTAAGGCTTCAAAACAAATGCCCAGGCTCTAGTCTATAAATATCAGTCTTTCTCCCACTATCCTCTCCGCCCTGGGATTGTTTTATAAATAAGTTGTAACACAATCATTCAGTTGGGTCTCAGACAAAAGAGCAGAGTCCCACAGGCTTTTGCTTTCTAGCACTGTAAATTAGAGAAGCCTAATTGGATTATAAAGCAGCGTTGGTTTCTGGTCTCAGTTTCTCTCGGGCCAAACAAAGTCGTTATTTCATCTGTTACAATTGGACTAGGAAGGAGGCTGGAGATTTGGCAAAGGGAGAAAGCAGAGATGCCAGCACTCCTGCTGATATCAGGGCTTGCAACCCTGTGAAATTAATTAGACACAAAGCAGAATGTTCCTCATAGGCACCTGCTAGAATCCAAAACACATACAGAAAAGATTGCAGGAGTTTAGCAAAAGTTTTTTGATGGCCCATGAAGGGGAAAAGGGAAGCATTACCCTAAGGTGGGTTTTGGACCTTGACAGTCGCTTGTGCAACTGTTTTTGCAGTGGGTGACAATGGCATGGCATTCCGAACCCAGCCCAGGGCATTCCACAACTGACAAAGCTTTGAAGTGCCATTAGCCAAAACCCAAACACAGCCATCCTTTGAAATTTGCACTTCTCTGAATTTTGCAGCACAGTTCTCCAGCCAGCAGATATGTACAAAAATGCACACGCTGGGGTAATGTATGCATGAATATGCATCTAGTCGGGAAAATAACATTAAACTTGCATTTGATATGGGAAAATTGCTTTGTAAAAATGTGTATATTAACCTGTGATCATTACCCTTTGAAATTTGGTTCCATGAAAACGATGTCCATTTGGTTTTATATCTGGAATTGTAATTGTAATTTTTAAGTCACCGAGAGAGAACCTACAGGAGAGCCTAAAAAATTTTAAACAATTAAATGCTACAAACAATTAAATGCTACATAAAATCAGATCTTTGCTCTAATCTAGCAAGCCTCTTCTTAGGTTCTTATGTTTGGATTCTTCTATTTTTTTCTTATAAGGGTCAGTGAAAGCCATCATGTGTCTATGGAGACAATATTAGATTTGGGCATGAAAATTTCTTGATAAATATTTGCATCACATTTAGCATTTCCCCTATACAGCATTATGTAGAAAAAAGCAAACCATGCCCGAGAAGTACACAGTGATGGGAAAACATAGTGCAAATGGAATGTTCTCTCTCTCTCCTCCCCCTGGACTCCTACTAAATCTGTCCTGGGGTTTCCTCCAGCCCCTCCCCCTCCCCCGAGCAGATTTGGAGATGTTGCAGGGCATGGAGGAGTGGAGGGGGGAAGTCTCATTGCACTAGCGCAAGTGCAAATATTTTGTCACATACTGCCCCATGTTTTTCAATAAAGTTGTTTCAGAATCTGGCTTCTGCATAAGAACATAAGAGCTTGTTGGATGAGGCCAAAAGCCCATCTATTCCAGCATCCTCTTCTCATAGTAGCCAACCAGATGCCTACTGGAAAACTGATGGAGATCACACTAGAACTCACACAGCAGGACCACTCAGTGTGGCTTCAGCATGAATCATCTTTGGATGGACAAAGGTAGGGACAAAAGGAAAATGGGGACCACGTTACAAATTTATGGGAAGCCACATGAGCAGATAGGAGGCAATTTATCCTGTACTGCTATGCATTACTTTATTTTATTTGAACAAGTTACATTTATATACATTTCAAATGTATATAGTTAATATCATAGTTTCTAAGCAATGTACAATGATGCTACAAAAACTAAGTTAAAATTAACAATAAAATTGGGGGGGGTACTTAAAATGCTGGCTGAAATTATAAAAAGGTCTTCACCTGAAGTCCAACAGGGAGGTGGCCAATCTGATCTAAGCCGGGTGGCAGTTCCACAGGATGAGCAGGATGGGCCCACAATACTGAGCAAGCAGCAGACTCTCATTGGGCCATGGGAACCTCTAGCAGCAACTTTCCTGGAGACCTCAGTGATCAGGTATGGGTATAAAGGATTAGGCAGTCCTTAAGGTATCCTGGACCCAAGTTGTTATGTGCCTTGAACCCTGGAGAATACAGGCAGCCAATGCAAGCTTGTCAGTACTGAAGTTGTGTGCCGGTGGTAGTCTGTCCCCACCAACAGACCAGCCCTGGCATTTGGCACAAGATAGAGTATCTGGACCAGATCCACAGGTAGCCCCAAATAAAGCACGTTGCATAATGAAATACTGAAGTTACCCATGAATGAATCACCACGGCCAGGTTTCCCTGTCCAAGAATGGCAGTAGTTGGCATATTGTCTGCAGCTGGTGGAAGGCAATCTGAGCCATTGAGACTACCTCAACCTCCAGTGACAAAGATGGATCTAGCAGCACTCCAAAACTATGAACATGATGTTTCAGAGGGAGTTTATCCACATTTAGAATAGGCTACTGGCCAATCTCTCAGACACAGGAACTACCCATACACATTGCCTCTGTCTTCCCAGGGTTCAAACTCAGTTTACTGGCCTTCATTCAATCCACAACTGCACCCAGATGATGTTGATGCAGATCATGCACAGACTCTCCTGACTCAGGTGGTCTGAAGAAATAGAGATGTGTGTCATCAGAGTACCAACGACACTTTGGCCCCAAACTAAGGATTGCTCCGAAAGGCTTCATAGAGAACTTGGTACAAAATTGTGCCTTGTGATGCACCACAGTGCAGAGACCACAAGACTGAAACACAATCTCTGAGTGGTCTTGCAGGTAGGAGTAGAACCACTGAAAAATATCACCCCTCAATACTAATTTCATGGTATTGAGAGCTGCTGAGAGATGGAGATGGAGAAGCAGAAACAGAGCCACACTCCTCCTGTCTTGTTCTTGATAGGCTGAAACAGATCCAGATAACTGGTATTCTCCAGAAACTCCTGTAAGTGCTCCACCACCACCCTTTTCACCATGAATGTACATATAGCAGTGGTGAGACCTGAACAGCTCAGTGGTATAACTTTGCAGGCTCAATCCCCCATGTTTCCAGATACAGTTAAGACAGTGCCTGTCTGAAACCCTGAACAGTTGCTGCCAGTCAGTGTAGATCTTACTGAAATAGATGGAGGAAAGATCTGACACAGCATGCTATGCTTATGTCCCTGAACCCTTGGGGTGAACACCCTCTGTATTAAACAAGCCCTGTGCTTATGTGGCAGGGATGTGGGTAGGGGAGAAAGGAGTTATGTACTGGAAGATGTTAAGATTTCTGGCTACACCCCTGTTTGCTTGGCCTGGGGGGGGGGGGTGCAAGAAGATTATGGGCCAAAAGTCCAGGGTGCCCCTCAGCAGCAGTCTAAGCAAAGCAAGGGGATCAAGTTGGGGCCCCATTCAATCCCTGATCTAAAATTATCCAGCTACACCGCTGCAAAGCCCCACGTCTAATATCAAAAGCTCCAGCCTCCCAGCCTGTTTTCTCCCTCGGGGACTTGGATCAGGAGCGCAGGCTGAATGGGCAGCGACAGGAGAGGCGCTAGGACCTCCGGGGGAGGGGAGGTGGATGCTTGCCTGCGCCTGCCTATTGCCCAGTTAGGGAGAGTTCAGCAGCGCCGTCTCTGATCTCTTCTGGCTCTGGCTCTCAGCAGCAGGTGGTGCCTGGGAGGGAAAAGGTGAGCGAGCTTTCAGCGAGCGAGGGAGGGAGAAAGGAAAGGCTGGGCGTGCGGGGGTGGGGTGGGGGGGACAGAAAGTGAGAGGAAGAGAGGAAGAGGCGTCCCAACTGCGTGGCTGTGCCTGCTCTGGCCCCAGCCTTGCCTTCGTGCCGGGGCGTTTTTGCCCAATGAGAGTCCACCGGAGGTGTCCGTCTTCCCCGCCTGCCCCCGAGCCCAGCCCTCCGGCGTGTCCTCCTCATCCCCCTTCCCAGCAGATGCCCGTCCATGGGGCTGCTTGCGAAAGGCTTCTTCCAGCCCCGACCACAACCAGAAGCGCATCTTGCCAGGGAATCGGCCGGCCAGCGGACAGCCGCCCGCGGGTGCAGGGCGTTTGACGGCGCCGCCTTCCCGAGCCGTGCCCAGAGCAGCAGCAGAAGCAGCAGCAGCAGCAGCCGTCCAGGTCTGGGCTGCGCTGAGCGGATCGATCAGGCCCCGGTCGTCGTCAGCCTCTCTTTCTCCTTCGCGCCGGTTGTAGAGACCCGAGGACTTGTCCTTCTCGCGACTACCTTCCCTCGGCCGGGGAATTATGCTGGGCTCCAGCCGCTGGGCTCGGATTGCCTGCGCGCCCGGGGACACTCGACGGGCGGCCGTGGTCCCCCGTGCGCCTTCGCGCCTCTGCTTGCCCTTGGTCCTGATGCTGCTGACACTCACGCCGCGGGCGGACTCCTCTTGGTGGTAAGTCGGCCCGACGCCGGGGCTCGCTCGCGCTCTCCTTCGGGGTTAGACGGCGGCTCCCGGCGAGGAAACTTGTCTCTCCCCGACGTCTAACAACGAGGCACCGCGAAGCAGCGGTGGCTGCTCAAGGTTCCGATTAGCTTGGCGGTGCGCTGCTCTGGGCAGCGCGCTACTCGAGGCTGGAACTCTCAAAGCGTGCCACGGTGACGCAGTGCTCCTGAGCATGTGCAAAGCGCACGGTGCAAGCGCCAGGACCTGTAGGAGTTGGGGAAGAGACGGGAGAGTCGGAGGGGCTTCTTCAAACTACTTACCAGTGATGTCGTTGGGTCTTTTTAAACTCTGGACTTAATATGTATTGCTTATAGTATTTATATTCCGCTTTTCAGGCGGACTTCACAAAGAGGTTTACCTAAGGTTATTACCCAGACGGTACTAATGCGTAGAATTTCACTTATTTCAAAATGAGGTTTAATCAGTCCCAGTCCTGCTGCTTTTGAGGTCTGCTAGGTGGGTCCCTGGACTTTTACCCCGAAGTGCCCGATGGCCTGGCCCCCGTCCTTTCGACATACAAGCAGGCCAGAGGGCCACACGCCACAAGCGCCGTTGGTGATGGGGGCTCCTCGCTCCGGAGAAGCCCGCGGTGCCGAGAGGGGCAGAGCTTGGAGGGGGCGATATCGGGGTCCAGTTTCTCTCTCGAAGGGTTTCGGCTTGTCCTTGGCTCCTTCTTGGCTTGGACAAGCAGAGAGGGGAGCGCTGGTTTTTCATAAAACAACCAGGCGGGCTTGTTAGAGAAGTTGGGGTTTATTTATTGGGAGTGGGGGCGGTTGCGCTGCTCGGGAAGCCGTAGTGCGAGGCGTCAGTGGACAGAACCGAGAAGGGAGGCGGACGGGATGGCGCTGTCAGATGGGAATGCTGCTCATTGATGGGGCGATTTGATGAGGACGGGGATGGGGAAATGCCCACTCAACGCGTAATTTTATAGAGTTCTTTGTTTTCTTAATTGTTTGATTGTAAGCCACTCTGGGAAAGGCGGAGATAAGTTTTAGGATTCGAATTTTTCTCCATCTCCTCCATAGGATAGGTGGCTGCAAAGCAGGTGCTATAAACCCCTTGCACACCTACAAATGCCCTGCTTTAAACACGCGCACGAGAGCACGATCCAGCCTAAGCTAAGCCCGCGTGCAGCCCCATCCTTACTCTGGAGTAATTCCCACCGGGGGAGCCTTCCAGGCCGTTTCTTTCAACGGACGGATTCTGCACGTCCTCCCCTTGGGAATCAATGGGCTTCGGTTTCGATGGGCTTTGGACGCATCCTGCTCCTAGTCTCAAAAGCGACGCCGTCCATTAAATCAGAGACCACGTCGTAAACATGGGAGCCTTTTCTACGGTCTGGCTGTCAGATCCTGAGTCTGTCGTTCTAGCTTGGATCTACCTGCCTGCTCCAGCAGCTAAGGCAGATCTCTGAGGTTTCGAGAACTGCCTTGTCAGTGGGGGGGGGGGGCCGTGCCGGAAAAGAGGGGTAGAGACGGAGGTCCCTTCCAGCGCGTACCTGGCGATGCAGGGGGATCGAAAGCGGGACCTTCCCCACGCAAGGCAGATGCCTTGCCACTGAGCTATTTGGCCTGCAAGTGACAGCAGTTGCGCGGGCATGGCATTATGATAGGCTGCTCTCCTATGGGTTCCTTCTCTCGATCGTCTATGGGGCCTCCTCTTTTTACCCACCTGCCTGTGGACTCAGTCAAGAGTCTCGCGGCACCATAAAGGCTCACACCTTTTATTCCGGCGTAAGCTTGCAGGTGCTAGAAAGTCCGCTTCATCAGATGTAAAATGCAATTCACCGTTGCAGGTATAAATATACCTGGTGGAGTAGGAAGCGGAAAATGTAATGCAAGAAAGCGCAGAGAGTAACTTTGCTACAGCGAGCTAGAATGTGTGCGCAAGAAGCGCGCGCGGGGGGGGGGTCATTTCCCCCAAAGAATCTTGGGGACTGTGGTTTGCTAAGGGTGCTGGAAAATTTAACAACGCGAAGGGTAAGCTACAGTTCACCGGATTCTTTAGTGGAAATAATGTGCTTTAGATGTGTGGTGTGTGCAAAAGCCTCTGAAAAAGCTGAGTTAATTGGGAAAGGAAAGCCTTAGAATCGTAGAATGGCAAGAGGGGGAAAGGGTCATCTAACCCAACCCCCTTGTCTCTCTGCCCAGACCCAAATGAGCCGAACGTGGCGTCCCAGCGCAATGCCCACCATGTCTGATTGGCAGCGCAGCACTGTTTCATCCCGTGGGGACGACCCCAAGACAATGGGTGTTTGGATTACAGCCTTATCGATTCACCATCTCGTCCTCCTTTCCATCCCCATTTCTGGGATGTTAGCTATCTACTCTAGTCATCCCATCAATCGATCTGTAAAATGTCCCTAGATATTTCCTCTCCGTCAGGCATGGGGAGCCACTGCCCTTTATTTCCTCACTGCCTGAGTTGTGTGCCTGTCTGTTTTAATTCACCCTCCTATTCATCCTTAGCTCCCTTGAACTCTCTTACTCCCCCGACGTGGTCTGCCACTGCTGTCATTTCGACTTGCCCACTCACTTGCCCAGGTTTAAAGCTCGCCCCGGGCTTGGGTTGGAGGGAGCGCTTTATTGGGCCCCGGCCACCATTGTCTTCGACGAGGAGGAGTGGGGGCGATTCCTCCAGGCGGAAGAGCACATTCCCGTCGGGCCGGGCCGGTGATGGGCAACGCGGCCCCTTTCCAAGCTGCGGGTCTGACTCCCACAACGTAAGCCAAGCCTACAGCCTGTTATTGTTAGAGCCGCTGCGGCCGGCGTAAACATGACTTGAGCCTTGTTGATGACAGAGCCGCTTTAATTTAAAACTGTTTTTATTGTTCATACTTGGGAGTTAAACAAGAGCTCCTTCTTAAACGGGAACAGCTGTCAGTCTGCTCCCAGGTGCGAAGCTGCAGAAAGCGGGTTGTTTCTGCAGTTGCGGAGAGGCGGGGTCGGTTCACAAGGACCGAATCGTCGCTTGAGGACCACAGCATCAAGGGATGACTTCCGCGCATCTGAGTCCTTCTTTTCACATTCGTATCTCGCCCTTCTTTCACGGTCCTGGGGAGCCCCCATTGTTCTCAACACAGATACAGGCAACCCTCTTAATTATCTTCCACAACAACCCTGCGGGCTAGGTAGGTTAGGACTCGACGACAGAGAGACAGTGACTGGCCCAAGATCACCCACTGAGGTCCGTAGTTGAGTCGGGATTTGAACCTAGGTCTCTCCAGAACAACACTCAAAGACCACGGGATTAAAATTATTCAATTTGCTGAGGGTTGAGCGGGTTCACACGTGCATGCTCATCACTTGAGGACTGCAGCATCAAGTGATGACTTGCGTGTTCAAAACAGGTCAGGACGCTCAACCAACCACTGCCCCTCATCCCCTCTCAAACCCCAGACTTTCTCCGTGGAACTAGATATGCACCTTCCACTGCCAGAGATCAAGGTCCGGTTCACACGTGTGTGCTCCGATGAGTGCCGCTTGAGTGTCTGGTGACAGGCACAACTTGCCAAACACGCTGCTTTTCCAGGGGTCTGGTTCACACATTCATCCACAACTCCAGAGTACAGTACCGTCAGTGATGCGCGGTCCTTTCGCCTTAAGCGGTAAAGGCAAGATGGCTCTACATTTCCCAGCGATAGCGACATGCCAAATAAATACCCTATTCAGGGGGTGGGAGAGAGAGAGAGAGAGACATTTACGATGGTTAGATGATGGGAGCCAAATAAAGACATCTGTTTGCTTCCTTGGAATCATCTGCGCTTAGCACATACTTAGCAAGGAAAACAAAATGTTGAATAAATAGGAGTGCAGATTTGAAGGCAGAACGAATATAAACACCTAACTGCAGCATATATCCGAGGTTTTATTCAGCTGGAGTCATCTGGTTAGTGGTCTAACAAGGCAGTCCTATACTCAGAAGTAAATCCCACTGTGTCTAATGGGGTTTTCTCCCAGGTAAGCGTGCAGAGGTTGCAGCCTTACTGGAATTGAGCTAAATGGTATATATTTATTCTCGAGAAAGCATCCATAGGACCGGGTTGCATTAGGGTGTTTCTTAATTTCAGATTTATAGGCAAGATTTTTTGTTTAATTCTTTTGTGATCTAGAGACATTTTGATTTTAGAAATCCGACTCCGGATTGTATTTGCTTCTATGCGCCGTTTTTGGATTCTGAAACCCAAACGGTGTTTAAGCCAGTGCTGCAAAATTTAGGAGGGAAATCCGTAGCGTCACTCACAGGAGGGGATTTGGATGAGAGGACACTGGAATGCAGGATCGGGCCACGAGACGATTCCAAAATTCATCCTAAAGTGTGAAGGCCATACGTTTAACACAAAGAAGAAAATCGCAGCTGCAGCGCCCCAAATACTCTTATTCTTATTCTGGCAATTTAAAAGACGGTTCGGAATGCACCATATTACCGATTCCCAAGACCCTGATAAGCAAGTGTTGGGACCGAGGCTGTAAATTTTCCGAGGAATAAGTCCCATGGAACCCAGTGGGGCTTGCTTCCGAGTAAGCAGAACTAGGTTTGCTATTCATCTTAAAAGACATCTTAGCCTTAATGTGCAACCCAAAGCGCTAGCTTCTAACTTGGCAATGCCTGTTCTGATGCGATCCTCTCAGTTTTTGCGTGGTGCGAAACTCAATAGGGAGCGTCGGCCAACCATAAGTACCAGTGACTCAGCTGATCTAAACAAAAAAAAAATTCCTTCCAGTAGCACCTTAAAGACCAACTAAGTTAGTTCTTGGTATGAGCTTTCGTGTGCATGCACACTTCTTCAGATACCTTGATGGACTTCCATTTCATCAGCTGACTTCCATTTCATCAGCTGACTTCCATTTCAGCTGATCTAGTAAGTCTAGCCCCACACCCACCCCTCAAAATAGCAGCCGCAGAGATTTCCCTCCCCTGAAGTCTTTGTGGCTACGGTGGTTTCCCCA